AGTTGACTCATGTGGAAGCATCACATTATCCTGATCTTCGCCTTGTTACTTTTGTTACTCTTCAACTGGGCTTGTGTCTGGAATATTTTCCATAAGTACCTACCCTAATGCACTGTTACAAGGCTGTTGCTAAATTGTATCATCTTAAATATTTTATTTTATTTCAAATAGATGAGTAGATTATTCTAAGAAAAACCTGTTAGCTTGAGTATTATTCTTAGTGCTTAGTAATGTAATTTTTTCATCTCTTCTTTGTATATGCTTTTCTTATTTTTAAAAGATGAGAAGATGGTACATTATTCCAGCGTAAAGGATATACTTCTGGAAAATAAGGCAAGTATATCACTGGAAAAAGGTAGATATTAGAATAGTTTAAATAATTCCTTTGTCCACTGAACATGTGAATAATTTTAAACATATCTTAATATTTTTATTTAGAATGAGAAAGTGATGAAAATCCTTTCATACTGAGGAGAATTTGAAGGATTTTTTTTCACTTGCATAAGAATAAATTTGGTTCTGTCGCTTAAAAGAGTGAAAATGATTCACAGTTGTTCATTCTAGGTATGTCGTGAGCTAAATAAACTTGCTATGTGAAAATTCAGATTTTTTTTCTGACAGACTATTCTCTGATTTGCAAAATGATTTAATATAATATTCCTTTAATTAGAGAATTTTCTTTGGCGTTTAGAAAATAGGATTTGATTTTAAAATATGATTTACATATAATTTTTTAAGAATACACCTATCACACAGAGCAAGATACGTCTATATTATGAAGCTCTTAGAACATCTTATTTCATCAGTTTTGCTCAGCTTCAGGAAGTTGTATGCTCCATTTATACTTCTTAGTGAAATGTTCTCCTAGATAAATTAGCTTTCAGAAATCCTGCATTTTTGGTATTATCTAGTCAACTTTTGGAGATTAAAAAGTGGAAATGAGAGGTAAGACAAGAAATGAGTTAATTGGGAAGACTGTAAATTTTTTAAAAGTTTATTTCATTTCTTAAAATATTTTTTTACAATTTATTGATCTGTTTTGTTTTTTGACAAAGCAGATTATTCCCAAGAAATACTCAGATTTCCATACAGAATACATTCCTTGAAAAGTTAGTCTATTGATTTTTAACAGAAAGGGAAGGATATATCATTTTTAACTTAACATTAACTGTTGTATTTGATCAGAATTTTGTTTCTCTCAAATGTTGACTTTATTTACTTTATGGTGATTATTCTGTATATGAATTATTCCTTTGTCTCCACTTTCTTCATCCTGTATTATTTCATTCAAATCTTCCTTTATGTATCTGAATTCTGAATGTCATTCCTGATGGAGTGGTAATATTTCCCTGCATTAATGCACCACAATTTGTTCAGTCATTTTCCAATCATTGGGCAAATTGTTTTCAACTTTTTGTTATTACAAAGAATGCCTTGTAAATGTTTTTGTACATATGTGGCTTTTCTTGTTGTTGATAACAACCTTGGGGTTTAGTCTCAGACAAGGAAGATCAAAACACATACTCAAAAGAAGATCTTTTGAGGCCTAGGGGAAGAGACAGTACATGCTAGGAATGTCAGAGACCAGAGGCACAAAGACAGGAGATGATGTGTATGAGGAACAGAGAGAAGGCCAGTTTGACCAGATTTTCTAGGAGTTTGGTTAAGAAAGGGAGGAGAAATAATAGGAAATAATAGGATGATAACTAAATCAGGTTCTTAAGGATGGAGGAGATTTGATATTTGAAGATAATAGGGAAAGAACAAAATCAAGTCAAGTCAACAAGCATTTATTTAAACATTACTGCTATGTATCAGGGACTATGCTAAGGCAAAAAACAGTCCCTGCTGTCAAGGAGCTCAGAGTCTAATGGAAGAGATGGCATGAAAACAACCATGTATTAACAAGATATATACAAGATAAGTTAGAGATAATCTCAGAGGTAAGGCACTAGCATTAAGTGAAATCAGGAAAAGCTTCTTGCAGAATTTAGGATTTTATCTGGGATGTGAAGAAAGCCAGGGAAGCTTGGAGGAAGGAATGAGGGAGAGAATTTCTGGTGTAAGGAACAGCCAGTAAAAATGCGTGGAGTATCTTGTGTGAGGAACAGCGAAGAAGGCAGTATCACTGAATCATAGAATACTTGATGGAGGAGTCAGGTGTAAGAAGACTGGAAAAGGTAGGAAGGGGCCAGGTCATGAAGCAATCTAAAGCCAAACAAGTTTTTTTTGTTGTTGTTGAATCCTGTAGGCGATAGGAAGCCACTGGAGTTTGGGGGTGGGGGTGGGTAGAGGGAGTAAAGACATAGGAAGATCACTTAGGGAAAGTTGGAGATTAGAAAGACTGATTTCCCTATACCACTTCTGGCAACGTAAGTATACACATAGTTAAGAAAAACAAAAAACCCTCTAAAACTGAAGAAAAATCTGACAGTATTTATCTCAGTTTGCACCCAAATTATTGAGAAGAAGAAGTTATGCCTTAGTCTGCTGGAGTCAAGATTTTGACCTAGATTTTAGGAAAGCATTTGAAAAAGTCTTGGAATTTAAGAGTTGGAAAGGACCTCTTAGAATCCTCCTTGTTCAACAATTACTTGGACAAAAATCACCTCTATATCATCCATATCACACTCCTTAATTGTGCTTATTTCTCAAGGTTCTGTCCTAGGCCTTCATCTCTTTCTCTATACTCTCAGTGACTTCATCAGATCCCATGGGTTTAAACTAGTATCTCTTTGCACAGGACTCACCAATTTCTATATCCAACTCCCTTATCTATCCTGAGTTTTGGTCCCTTATTGCTGTTTGTTTGTTTTGCTAGGCAGTGGGGTTAAGTGACTTGCCCAGGGTCACACACAGCTAGTAAGTGTCAAGTGTCTGAGGCCAGATTTCAACTCAGGTCCTCCTGACTCCAGGGCTGGTGCTCTATTCACTGTGCCACCTCACTGCCCCCCTCATTTCTGTTTGACTTTTGGACATTGCAAACTGATATACCAGATCTCAAAGTTGACATATGCAAAACTGAACTGCTTATCTTTCCTCCAAACCGCCTTCTCTTTCAAACTTCCTGTTTCTGTCAGAGGTACCAAGTGTTACAGGTTTGTATCCTTTATGTTATTCTAAACTCCTCACTTTCCCTCACCCCACACATCCAATCAGTTTCTACATCTTGTCATTACTTCCTCTACAGTATCACTTACATTTGACTCTTTCTCTGTAATCACATTAATATCATCTTGGTTCAGGTCATAATCACCTCATCATTGCAATAGCCTCTTAATTAGCCTTCCTGCCACAAATCTCTTCCTACTCCAGTCTATCCAACATGCTGCTGATAAAATAATTTTTCCATACTGTAGATCTGACTTTGTGACCCTTCTACTTAACTTAATCCAGTGGCTTCCTGTTGCCTATTGGATATAAACTACCCTGTTTAGCTTTTAAATACTTTACAGCATGGTCCTAACCTATCTTTCTGGTCTCATTGAACATTATTCCTCTTCTACTGTGCAATATAAATAGGTCTTTTCTCTATTCTCTTTGCCCTAGGACTGCCACCCAGGACTGTGACCTGGATATGAGTATGGGCAAAGCGACAGGGTCCTGTCTCAGTGCTAGCAAAGAGACCCCTGTAATTTCCTTCTGACCAGTTGTTTGACCCCCTATGTCTGTGGGCTGAGAACTCTGGAAGCCAGCCGCTGTTGATTCAGGGGTTCCCAAGGCCTGCTCCTGGTTTGCTGGGGCTGGGTCTGTGTTGGCACAGCCTGTGCTGGACTGTGCTCCACTCTCACCCAGGTGTGATAGACCTTTCCTGCTGACCTTCTAAGTTGTCTTTGGCTGGAAAATTATTTCACCTCATCCTTTTGTAGGTCCTGCTGCTCCAGGAATTCTTTTATGACATTATTCCTGGAGCAGCAGAACCCACTGAAAAGGACTAGTCACCACAGTTCTTAATTTGGTCTATCAATGTTGTTTGTCTTTACAGTGTTGTTACTGTATAAATTGTTCACTCATTCTGTTCACTTCATTCTGCATCAGTTTGTCTGCATCAAATGTTTTTCCAGATTTCTCTGAACTCATCCCTTTTGTCATTTCTTACGGCACAATAGTATTCCATTACATTCATATATCAAGATTTGTTTAGCTATTTCCCAAGTAATGGGTACTTCCTTAGTTTCCAGTTCTTTACCACTCCAAAAAAAAAATTGGTGCTAAAACAATTTTTGTACATATGGGCCCTTTTTTCCCTTTTTCTGATCCCTTTGGAATTTAGGCTTAGTAGAGGTATTGCTGGATTAGGGGGTATGTACAGGTTAGTGACTTTTTAGATGTGGTTCCAAATTGCTTTCTATAATAACTGTACCAGTTCATATATAACTTCATTAACATTGTATCATTGTGGCTATTTTCCTGCAGCTCCTCCAGTATTTGTCATTTTCCTTTTTTTGTAGTCTTTGCCAATCTGATAAGTGTAAGGTAGAAACTCAGAGCTGCTTTAATTTACATTTCTCTAATTATTTGGAGAATTTTTTCATATGGCTGTTGATTGCTTAGATCTCTTCTTCTCCTTTTTTTGCTTTTTGGTGAGGCAGTTGGGGTTAAGTCACTTGCCCAGGGTCACACAGCTACTGAGTGTTAAGTGTCTGAGGCCAGATTTGAACTCAGGTCTTCCTGACTCCAAGGCTGGAGCTCTAACCACTGCACCTCCTAGCTGCCCCTTGGATCTCTTCTTTTAAAAGCTGCCTGTTCATATCCTTTGACCATTTATGAATTGGGGAATGGCTTTATTCTTATAAGATGTGAATCAGTTACTTATATATCTTGAAAATGAGATCTTTTTCAGAGAAACTTGTAGCAAAAGTTTAAAAATTTATTTTTCCTTTCAAAGAGATCCTGTTTTACAGGGTTATCCTATATTTGGGCCAATGTAATATTCATAAAAGGCACTGTGTCAAAATAAAATTTTAACTAATAAAAAATAATAGGAATGGTGAAAAAATAATAGTGCAGACTAAACTCAGCTTTTTAAAAGATTAAAGATTACCATAGTGTGAGTGGTTTTCTAATTTTACAGAAGCTTCTAGAGCTTCTGCTATATTTGTATAAACTTTGAAAGCCCAAGGTGATACTTCTGTGTGATGATGAAGCATCAGAGGAAGATTTTAGTTGAGGACTATAGACTAGAATGTTTATAAAATTTACTTTAGGCTTTACTTGCATGTGCTTCTTATGTAAATAGAGTATATCTGGCATAAAAGATACCATAATAACTTACATTTTTATACACTTCAAGGTTTACAGAGATTTTCTTACTACAACCATGTGAGATATGTAGTACAAGTATTATTATCCCCACACTACAGTTAGATAGACTCTATAGGAAATAAATTTTGTTTATATTTGTGACTTAAATACACGGGTCATTTTTTAATAAAGCATTTTTTTTCAATAGAGTCCTCATTGTGTAACTGTAACAAATCAGTTACCAAAAGTTTCCAACATGATCTCTCTTCAGTCAACTGGTATTAGGTATTCTAACCAAATATCTAACATCAAGGACTGTAATTCACCAGAGTCAATGCCCCTTACCAGTTGTGTAATTCCTTCCTTAAATATCAAACCCTCACATTTGCAGCAAAAAGAAATTAAGAAGGAATATTTCTTAAAAGAAAACAACAATATTGAAAAGAAGGATGCTAAGAACCTTAAAAGGAAGCATACTACAGCCAGTCATTTGTCAAAGCAAACAAAGCGTTGCTTCACGATGGAAGAATTTGGAAATGGAATTGAAACCAAATATCAAAATTCAGGAGAGACAAGAGCTCTTGAAAACCCAGTCTGCGATGTCAGATCTTTGGGAACTGTAGACAAAAATCAGCTGATGGAAAAGCTAAAACAAGCAGCTGCTCTAGTAGTCACAATAATCTATCAGGATGGGTCATCCCAGCTAAAACATTACAAGGTCAGTAAATAGTGATAGTTTTTGCCAACTGAAAAGTAAGTTACCCTTTTAAAAAATTGAAAATATATTAATAGAATTTTAAGCTTAGGTATTTTTATTGTAGTGCATGGTCTACAATATAATTAATAGCTCTTGATACACTGTACAATTAGAAATCTTTGAATGACAAAGGAGGAAAGGCGCTGAATATGTGATTTATTGTGTCATTGTTTAATGTTTTATAGAGTTCACTCTTGCGATTTAAATTTCAGAAGATTTTGTGTATTTTAATGTCAGAATTTTATAGAAAAAACTATTTAAATTATTGAAAGACTTGGATATTTATAAGAAGTTATCTGAAAAAAAGTGAGGGATTGGCACTTGAATTTAGATTATGCTTTGCCTTTAAAAAGCACCTTCCCTTTCCAAAGTAATTTTATAAAATTTGACTGTGCATTAAAATCCATTCCATATAGTACATCTTATAATAATAGCTGATTTTAGAAAATGTTATAGACTAGGGAAATTTTGACCAAGACCGTTTCAATGGACAGATCTTGATTTAGTGTATGTCTACAGTTTGATTGTACGGGGTTTTTGACATCTTGGATTTAGGAGCTTAACATTCAGCATATCACACATCGTTCAAGTAGTAAGTTAGGGATAATAAGATGATGATTATAAGTCACTTTTTGGGAGCATCTTAAGTTTTATAAAATACTTTCCTCAGTCATGTATCTGGAATCAGAGGGTTTGGGTTAGATACCGATTGCCTGTGTGACCTTGGGCAGGTTACTTCCTCTCTCTGAGCTTCCTTTTTCATCATCTGTGAATAATGGGGGTAGAACAGATAGTCTAAACTTCACTAAAGTGTCGTACTCTAAGTCCCATGATGCCATGTAGGTAGTAGAAATCTTTAATTTTTTAAAATGAGGAAACTGAAGTGCAAACAGGTTTAGTGATTTACCCACAGTCACCCAGGAGCAGGCATTAACCAAAATCTGTAACTTATTAACCCAAATTAGTTTAAGGCCAGGGTGCTTTCCATTAATTGTGACAGAAGCAAAAATACTTTTCTTCCTTAAAATCAGTTATTTGTTTTTAGCTTATTAAGTTGTTGGTTTGATTGCATTTACACAGGAGGATCTAAATTCATTGGTAAAAGGAATCATTATTTTAATAAAGAGTCCACTGGACAACAGCAGTCATCCCTTTAGTTCATCAGGCACAGACCTACCTATAATGGATGAATTTACCAAAGATGATAGGTATATATACTTAAAAATAGAACATGATAATCTTTGGAGACAAGAGCAAGAGATGAGTAATCAATTTGCCAGGTAAGAAAATGGAAAACGATCAAATCTTTATCAATCCTTACACATACTGTCTGTGTTCCAGTTATGGTATTATTTAAGCTGTGAACTTATAATAGATTACCTTTGTGTGGTTTATAATATAATTGGGAAATATTTAAGAAAATAAAAAATACAATAAAACACAAATAACAATACATTTTAGAACTAGGGGACGCCTTAGGGAAGCCTCTGTAGGGTTTAGTGTCTCCTGTTTCTATCTTAGTTTGATAGCACTGATCTAGATAATGCACTTACTCACTTTGGGTAGAATGGTTTTCTGTAATCTTTCTAACTAATCTATAAGGGAACCTCAGGTGATTAGGCTTCTAATGCAGCTTAAAGTTGTTGATAAGTTCTGGGCAATAATAACTTTAGGAAAAATAACCTATTAGGGGATAGTCAGTTCATGGAAATAGTAAGGGCGTTAGACTTAATGTTTTTTTAAATGGGGCTTGTGACCTCTTGGAAGAGCTTAACATTCAGCATATCACACATCCTTCAAGTAGTAAGTTAGGAATAATAAGATGATCATTATAAGTCACATTTCAGGAGCATCTTAAGTTTTATAAAATGGGCACAGAGCAGAATTTTTTTATAGTTTGGTTATGATTTATTAATTATAACTGGAATACATAACTGGAAATTATAATCCCCATTTCCTAGGACATCTTTGAGTTTTAAGTTAAATCTTAGTATATATACATATATATATGTATATGTCTTTTAATGCATGTATATATTTAACAAGGATCCAATTTAAATTAAAGTCTTATTTTAAAACATTGATTTAGATCCAACTTTAAGTGGTCTCACTGCAATTTAAACCCTTTTGTTCTTTCTAGACCTTTCCACTAACCAAAATGAAAAGTATGTATATGTCCTTATAATTGTTCGTATACAAGCATACCTCATTTTATTGTGTTTCGCTTTATTGTACTTTGCAAATATTATGTTTTTTACCAATTGAAGGTTTGTGGCAACCCTCTATCAAGCAAGTCTATTAGCGTCCTTTATCCAGCAGCATGTGTGTCTCTGTGTTACAACTGGAAATTGGTAATTCTAACAGTAATTTAAAACTTTTTCATTATTGTTATATCTGTTATTTTGATCTGTGGTCAGTGATCTTTGATGTTAATTATTTTGGGGAACCATGAACCATGTCCACGTAAGATGGCAAACTTAATCAATAAATGTGTGTGTTTTGACTGTTCCACCGACTCCTCATTTCTCTATCTCTCTCCCTCTCCTTGGACTTCCCTATTCCCTGAGATACAACAATATTGAAATTAGGCCAAATAACCCTACAATGGTCTCTGAATATTCAGGTGAAAGGAAGAAACAATCAATGTGGCCAACTTCATTGTTGTCTTATTTTAAGAAACTGTTACAGCCACCCTAGCCTTCAGCAACTATCACTTTAGTCAGTCAGTAGCCATCAACAATGAGGTAAGATCCTCCACCAGCAAAAAGATTATGACTCACTGAAGACTTAGATAATGGTTAGTATTTTTTTTTTCAGCAATAAAGTATTTTTTAAATTTAGGTATGTACATTTTTTAAGACATAATACTATTGCATAATTAATATACTACAATATAATGTAAACATAAGTGGCAAACCAAAAAATTTGTGTGACGCATTTTATTGCAATATTCACTTTATTGCAGTGGTATGGAACTGAGCTTGCAATCTTTCTAGGGTATGCTGTACTAGAAGATACTGTAGGTATTAAGTAACCTCTTAATCTTTTTTTCTAAATTAATCAATTTTTAGTTTTCAACATTCATGATCACAAGATTTTGAGTTCTAAATTTTCTCCCCATCTCTCCCCTCCCCCCACCTCAAGATGACATGCATTCTGAATATCCCTTCCCCCAATCTGCCCTCCCTTCTATCATGCCCCCCACTTCTCTTATCCCTTTCCTGTTCTATTTTCCTGTAGGGCAGGATAGATTTCTGTACCCCTTTGCCTATATATCTTATTTCCTAATTGCATGTAAGAACAATTTTCAACATTTGTTTTTAAAATTTTTGAGTTCCAAATTCTCTCCCTCCCTCCCCACCCACCCCTCATTGAGAAGGCAAGCAACTAGATACAGGTTATACATGTGTAGTCATGCAAAACACTTCTGTAGTAGACATGTTATAAAAGACTAACTGTATTTTCCTCCCTCTTATCCTACCCCCCCATTTGTTCTATTCTCCCATTTGACCCTGTCCCTCCTCAAAAGTGTTTGCTTCTGATTACTCCCTCCCCAAATCTGACCTCCCTTCTATCATCCCCATCCCCCTTATCCCTTTCCCCACTATTTTCCTGTAGGGTAAGATAGATTTCCATACCCAATTGAGTGTGTATGTTATTCCCTCCTTTATGCCAAATCTGATGAGAATTAGTAAGATTCACTCATTTCCTCTCACTTCCCCCTTCTCCCCTCCACTGTAAAAGGTTTTTCTTGCGTCTTTTTTGTGAGATATTTACCCCATTCTACCTCTCCCTTTCTCCTTCTTTCTTTACAATCCTCTCTCACCCCTTAATTTTATGTTTTAGATATTGTCCCTTCATATTCAACTCCCTGTGCCCTCTGTCTATAAATATATTCCCTCCAACTACCCAAATACTGAGAAAGGTGTCATGAGTTACAAGTATCATCTTTCCATATAGGAATGTAAACAGTTCAACTTTATTAAGTCCCTTATGATTTCTCTTTCCTGTTTACCTTTTCATACTTCTCTTGGGTCTTGTATTTGAAAGTCAGATTTTCTATTCAGCACTGGTCTTTTCATCAAGAATGCTTGAAAGTCCTCTATTTCATTGAATATCCATTTTTTTCCCCTGAAGGATTATGCTAAGTTTTGCTGGGTAGGTGATTCTTGGTTTTAATCCTAGCTCCTTTGACCTCCGGAATATCATATTCCAAGCCCTCTGATCTCTTAGTGTAGAAGTTGCTAAATTTTGTGTTATCCTGATTGTGTTTCCATAATACTTGAATTATTTCTTTCTGGCTGCTTGCAATATTTTCTCCTTGACCTGGGAACTCTGGAATTTGGTTATAATATTCCTAGGAGTTTTCTGTTTGAGATCTGTTTCAGGAGGTGATTGGTGGATTCTTTCAATTTCTATTTTACCCTCTGGTTCTAGAATATCAAGGCAGTTTTCCTTGATAATTTCTTGAAAGATGATGTCTAGGCTCTTTTTTTGATCATGGCTTTCAGATAGTCCAATAATTTTAAAATTATCTCTCCTGAATCTATTTTCCAGGTCAGTTGTTTTTCCAGTGAGATCTTTCACATTGTCTTCTATTTTTTCATTCTTTTGTTTTGTTTTATAATGTCTTGATTTCTCATAAAGTCATTAGCTTCCATTTGCTCCATGCTAATTTTTAAGGAATTCTTTTCTTCAGTAAGCTTTTGGACCTTCTTTTCCATTTGGCCAATTTTGCTTTTTAAGGCATTCTTCTCCTCATTGGCTTTTTGGACCTCTTTTGCCATTTGGGTTAATCTATTTTTTAAGTTTTTTTTCTTTTCTTTTTTTTTCTGTAAGGGAAATTTGCTTTTGCATTTCTCAAAAAGTATCAGTGAAAAACAAAGTATCGTGCTATGGGTTACAGTCAAGTATTTAACCAAAATGATAAGGAAAAGAACTGTGCCTTGAGGACATTTAAAAATTATAGTTACATTAGCATTAATGAAACATTACCTGAAGACACACAGTTTATCCTCTTCTCTACATGGTAAGATAATCTGAGCTTATCAATTTTGCACCATGGAATTTTGACATTTAAAAGTAAAATGTCAGTGTGAGAAAACAGTTTATAAAACTGAAAACAAACCTTTAAATGAACTAGTTCAGTTTATCACAAACCTTGATGCAGTACCAGTGACTAACTTGGGGAAGAGTTCCTTGTGAAAAATGTTGTATTCAGATAGTATAAGGTGTTATTTTCTACAGCATTTTTTTGGGTCTCCTTTAGCAAGCTGTTGACTTTTTTTTTTTATGATTTTCTTACATCACTCTCATTTCTCTTCCATATTTTCCCTATACTTCTCTTACTTGATTTTCAGAATTCTTTTTGAGCTGTTCCATGACCTGAGACCAATTCATATTTTTCTTGGATGCTTTAGATGTAGGAGCTTTGACTCTGTTGTCTTTTTCTGGTTATAGGTTTTGATCTCTTTTGTCAACAAAATAAAATTCTGTAGTCTGAGTTTTTTGCCTCTGTTTGCTCATGTTCCCAGCCAATTATTTGACTTTTTAACTGTTTGTTAAGGTAGAGCTCTGCTTTCAGTGTGGAGGGTGTACTGTCCCAAGCATCTGGGGTTTTGTATATCTGTTTTCAGAGATACTACTAGGGACCTGTAAATTTTCACTTCTTTCAAGGTGGAATGATCAAAGGAGAGATGTTTACTCTTTTCCTGGCCTGTGCTCTAGTCTGTGAATGACCACAAACACTCTTTTCTGCCTTGGAATTGTGAGGAGGATTCTCTCTACGCTGCCACCACAAGCTTCGCCATGCCAGCGTTCCTCCTTGTTCCAGAACTGCCATCCAGGACTGCAACCCAGATCCAAGCAAGATAATCCTGCCTCAGCACCAGCAAAGAGATCCCTGAAATCTCTCTCTAATCAGCCACTTGATTCTGCCACCATCTATGGGCCAAGAACTCCAGACCCAGCCACTGCTGCTGTGGCTGCCACCCCCAGGCTGCACGAGGGCCAGAACTGGACCACGTTCCTATCTTATCCAGGTCTGTGAGAGACCTTTCCCACAGACCTTCTAAGTTGTCTTTGGCATTTGTGGGTTGAGAAGTCTGGAAATTGCCACAGCTTCCTGTGATTCAGTCTCCTGAAGCCTACTCTTTTTGCCTGTGTGGCCCATGCTGACTTTGCTCCTCTTCCAGCCTGGTGCAACAGACCTTTCCTATAAACCATCCAGGTTGTCATGGGCTAGAAATTTGTTTCCCTTTGTCTTTTTGTTGTTCTGCTGCTCTGGAATTTGTTTAGAGTCATTTTTTGTAGGTATTTGGAGGGATTTGGGGGAGAGCTCAAGCAAGTCACTGCTTTTACTTTGCCATCTTGGCTCCGCCTCTTAATCTTTTTGTCACTAGAATAAATCAGAATATCAGAGTTAGAAGGGACCTTGGGATGATCTAGTTCCGCTAATATTCAAATGGTCATCTGATCTGTGCTTAAAAACCTTGCCTGAGACAGCTCATTCTACTTTTGGACAGCCCTGTTAGGAAGCTTTTCAGTAATTTGAACCTAAATCTGCCTCTCTGTTACTCTTTTCTCTTTAAATTTTTTTATGTTTTTTTTATATCATCATAATTTTCCCTGTTCCTTCTCCCAAAGAGCCATCCCATGTTTTTTTAAAGACAAAAAACAAGAAAATGAAGAGGAAGAAAATCAGCACAACTGATTAATGTATTGAAAAAGTCCAAAAACGTGTGTCATGTGCAACACTATGGACCTCCTACCTCTGCAATGGGATAGGTATCTTCATGTTTCTTCATTTGAGTCATGCTTAATCTTTGTAATTTTGCTATATTGAGTTTTGATTTTGTGTGTGTGTGGTTCTTTATATTTATATTGTTGTAGTTACTGTGTATGAGGCAGTCAGGTGGCTCAGTGGATAAAGCACTGAGAGTTCAAATCTAGCTTCAGGCACTGACTAGTGGTGTGACCCTGGGCAAGTCACTTAACCCTGTTTGCCTCAGTTTCCTCATCTGTAAAATGAGCTGGAGAAGGAAATGGCAAACCACTTCAGTATCTTCAGTACCATCTTCAGTATCAAGGAAACCCCAAATGGGGTCATGAAGAGTCAGATACTACTGAAAACGACTCAGCAGCAACAACAAAGTTACTGTGGATATTGTTTTCTTGGCTCTGTTTATTTTAGCCTGCCTCGGTTGATATGGATCTTCCCATGCTTCTTTTTACAAGTCTTTTTTTTTAAACTACTTTTAAAAATAAATTATCCTGTTGTCCAGAACTTTTGAAGTTTTTATTTTACTTTAAAAAATCTGGAGATAAAATTATCTTAGTGCTGTTGATTGTGTCATTTGAATCTTTATTATTTTTCTCAGTTGCTAAGGAATAACAGTTAAATGGCTCTGTGGATAGAGTGCTGGGCTTGGAGTCAGGAAGACCTGAGTTCAAATGCAGCCTCAGACACTTACTAGCTGTGTGACCTTGGGGAAGTCACTCAACCTCTCTTTCTGTTTGCCTTAATCCACTGGAGAAGGAGGTGGCAAACCACTCCAGTATCTTTGCCAGAAAAATCACATTGACAGTGTGGTCCACAGGGTCACGGAGACAGACACAACGGAACGGTCGAATAACAAGGAATAATAGTCATGGTGAACTAGTAAAGATAATAGACGTGAATAATAGAATAGTGAATTGTTTTCTTGTAATGCAGACTTGCTATGATGGCATCTCCATGGAGAGGAAGCTAAGGAGCTGCTTCCAGAAGAACTGTGATGAAATGTGAGGAAAGTGCACAGGTGGCCTTTCTGTGTCTGGCTCTGGTTGGACTACCAAATGGTTAAGAGGAAGTTTTTTCAGTTGGTTGTGTAGCCAGAAAAGTGAATGTCTTCAAAAGGTCTGAGTTAACTTTGGCCATCACTCTTTTTTCTTCCTTCAATTCTGGAGGATCTCAGTGACTCCTTCACACATAGATCTGGTGAAGTGGGTAGATTGTTCAACCTTCAGTGGCAAGGAGTGTGAGCATTTGGTATCTGGGAGTCCAGGAATCCAGGCCGGGTTTTGGAGCTAACTTAATGTCAACACCCTGAGGAAGACATAGTGATCTGTGGGAGCAACCCTCAGTACTTCAGCCCGTTGGAAGTATTCATCCAACAATTGTGCTGCATGTAGACATGAACTTAGTGGCACCATTGATATGTAGGAACTGAATTGAAGTTCAAAGCCACTTCCCTAGAGACTGAGAGGAGAATACGTTCCAGAGATGTTTGGGAGAAATGTTTGTATGTATGTTCTTGCTACATCAGTGAAGTAAATATTCCTGTGTAAAAGCTACATGTTACGTGGTTAAATGGGACTGAAGGTGCCAACCACACTGGTCTCCAACACATGGGGGAATACAGGAAGCGGGGACTTGAGCCAATGGCAGAGAAAAGGGATATCTCGACCCTCTTTGGGTACCTAATGGGAGAAATATAATAGAGTCAATCATGTTACATTTTTTTGTATGTTAAAAATCTGGCTCTGGGGACAAACATTCTAAAACAGCTACTAGCAATGACTTATTTAGATAGCCCTTGATTAGCAGAATTGACCATTCCCCCCCCCTTTTTAAGTGTTTCAGGAAGACATGTTATTGACATTTAATTTTTAACCAGCCTATATATAACTTTTACAGAATTTTAGTCTGTTTATATTTACTGTTATAACTATTACATTCGACATATCTTTTATCCTTTTAAAGCAGAATTGACTATTTTAAGAGTACTTTCTATAGCACCATATGCTCTATAAGAATATGAAAGAAATGTTAATTAAAGTTTATTTTTAATAATTAAGGAGAGTTGGGGCCATAGGTTTTAGGCTGGACTCTACCACAGCTGGGTCACATCTCTCTCAATAAATTTCAGTTGTTTTCTGTTGCCTCTAAGATAAAATGCAAACTCTTCTATTTGGTTGCTAAAGTCCTTTACCACCTGATTTTATCTTGTCTTTCCAGTTTCATTATATGTTCCTCTCCTTCTTGTACTCTGAGGTTCTTCCAAACTGATCTTTTCTCTGTTCTGCACACATGGCATTCCATCTCCTATGTCTATGATTTTGCACTTTCTGTTCCCCATGCCTGGAACATACTCACTCAATCAATAAACATTTAAGTGCCTGCTATGTGCTAGGCCTTTTGCTAAGCATAGGAGATACAGAAAGAGGCAAAAGATAGTGTCTGCTTTCAAGGAGTTTACAATCTAATGGGGGTGACAGTATTCAAACAGATTTATATGAAGCAAGCTATATACAAGATAAATAGGAATAATTAACAGAGGGAAGGCACCAAGGTTAAGATGTGCTGGAGAAGGTATCCTGTAGGAGATTTTAGTTGGGACTTAAAGGAAGCCAGGAAGGTCAGTAGTCAGAGAAAGGAGGGAGAGTATTCTAGGCTTGGGGGACAGTCAGAGAAAATGTCTGGAGACAAGAGATGGTGTATTTTGTTTGTGGAATATCCAGGAGGCCCATGTTACTGGTTCAAAGAGCATGTGTTAGGGAATAAAGGTGGAAGAGGATAGGGAAGGTAGGAGGGGGTTAGGTTACTAAGGGCTTTGAATGCTAAACAGAGCATTTTACATTTGATCCTAGAGGCATGCCGCAGGAAGCCACTGGAGTTAATTGAAGAGGGGATGTGTGTGTGTGTGTGTGTGTGTGTGTGTGTGTGTGTGAGTGTGTGAGAGACAGACAGAGAGACATGACTGAATTGACCTGTGCTTCAGGAAAATCATTTTCATGGTTCTCTATTGCCTCCTCTTCTGTGCCTTGCAGAGTCCTTCACTTTAAAAACTCCTGATCGTCACAATTGCTAGTTCCTTCCCTACCAACTGGCTTGTCTTTAACTTCTTTGTATTTATTCTGTAACTATTTAAATGTGTATCTCCCAGGACAGAATGAATGTAAGCTCCTTGGGAGCACAGATTATTTCATTTTTTTGTCTTTGTATCCCCCCACATAGCATAGTGCCTAGCCCATAGTAAAATGCTTAATAAATGCTTATTGGTTAATTGACTGGGCGTTAGTTTCTTTATTACTAAAATGTGAGAATAAGACTAGATGATCCTCAAGGTTTCTTCCAGATTTAAAATAATAGTAACTAACATAGTGCCAGGTACTGTGCTAAGCACTTTACAACTATGTCATTTGATCTTCACAACAACCCTGGGAGGTCAGTGCTGTTGTTAGCCCTATTTTACAGGTGAGGAAAATGAGGTAAACAGAGGCTAAGGAAAATTATAATTGTAATTAAGCTAGAATTAATAGCTCCCAGATTTTTTTCCCCTAGGGCAGCTAAGTGATACAGTAGATACAGTGGAACTCAGAAACACCTGAGTTCAAATCCGGCAACAGACACTTGTTAGCTGTGTGACCCTGGACAAGTCACTTACCCTTGTTAGCCTCAGTTTCCCTATCTGTAAAATGAGATGGAGAAGGAAATTTCAAACCCCTTCAGTATCTTTGCCAAGAAAACCCAGAGTCACAAAGACTTGAACCTGATTGAACAACAACAAACAAAATTTTGTGATACAATTTTAACATTTTTTAAATAAATAGGCATTTAAATTAATGACTAAATTAATCACATCATTTTTATCTTACAGAACAGTGCTGTTTCAAATACTAAAATCTAAATATACTGTTGTATGCTTTAATGCTAAAGAGTTTGTGAAAACAGTGCTCCAAGTTTGTGGCAGTTATGGTCATTGGAAACAAGGTAAGTGCAGTTAATCTAAATACTTAGATTAACTCTCATCAGGATGGTCAGGGAATGGAATGTTCTGGTAAATGCTGAAGTCCAGTTAGTGGAGAATTGCTGTGTAACTGCTGTGTAAAAGACCCTAGATGAGGCTGTGTGGTGGACTTGGATAAGACCTGAGTTTAAATCCTATCTCAGACACTTGTAGCTGGGCAATTCTGGACAGGTCACCTGATTTCTCTAACCCTCAGTTTCCTCATCTATAAAATGAAGAGGTTGGACTTAATATGGTCTACAATTCCTCCTAGTTCTAAATCTATGATCCTATGATTTCACATATGTAAAAAGAGCTATCTACTCTGAGATATCAGCTAATAACTCATGTCAGAGCTCCTTGGAAAGCGTCTGGTCTCAGACCACAAGGCACCTTGCCTATGGTAATGCAGTTAGTAAGTGGCAGAGCAGCTAAAGAGCTGGATCATTATCATTTTCTTATCACCTAAATATTGTTGTACTCCAGGGCTCTGCCCTGTGCTGTCTGATCTTCTCTGTCTATTCTTTATTGACATTGGCTTTAAAATGGGTTTGGTTATCTTTATGCAAACAGCTGCCCAAACTGCATAACCAGGCTTCATCTCTCCTGAGCTCCAGATGTGCGTGTCTACGTGCTTGTTGATCACCTGTTCCTGGATGTTTGATAAGCATCTCAAACTCAACACGTCCAAAGTGAAACTCATTAACTTATCTTTTAAAATCCTAATTTTTCTATCTGTCAAAGACTCAACTATCTAGTCATCCAGATTCACAACTTTGACACTTTTTTCCCATCATGCCCTATATCAAATCAGTTGCCAAATCTTGTTGGTTCTACCAGTGTAGTATCCTTTGTGCTTATTGTCTTCTCTCCATTCACATGGTCACTACCCTTGTTTAGGCCCTGTTCTGGTCTCTTTGTCTCTAATCTCTCCCCTTTTCAATCTGTTTTTCATGGAGCTGCCAAAGTCATATTCCTACAGCACATATCTGATCATGTTACTCTCCTGCTCAAGAAGCTTAAGTGACTCCTTGATACTTTTAGGTTAAAATATAAACTCCTCTGTTTGGCATTTAACATTCGTCAAAATGTTTTCAACCTATCTTTCTAGACTGATTGCATGTTATTTTCCCTCACGTATTCTGTTTTCCAGTCAAACTTGCCTATTTGCCTTTTCTCACACACACTATCCCATCTCCTATCTCCATGCTTTTTAGCAGGCTTTTGGTGGGGTGGTGGTAGAATTTATTCTGAATTTAAACATAAAGAGTGTTTCCATACATAGCAGAACATAAAATGAGAATCCGATATGAAACTCTCAATCTCTATGTCATATCTCTTTTAAAAATTATTTATTAAACATTATGTGGCACCATGCTAAGCACTGGAAATACAAATACAAGTACTAAAGAAAACTCCTACCTTAATGGGGGAAGAGAACACATGAAAAGGAGCTAGAGAGAGGGAAGGGCTCTGTGTGGGGAGAAGGGATAAAAGTCCAGAGAGTCAGGAGCCTAGCTCTCTGGGTTGAAGTAAGCACCAATGGCCCAGGCAGTTCTTCAAAAAAATCTCTGTTTCAAAATCAGAAAGTTGTTTTGCTTGTACTTGTCCTCCTAAAATTATCCTTCCTTTTAACTCCCACCCCAATGCCTGCTTGTTTCTTTGTTGTATTTCCCCGATGTATTTCTACACAAAACTATGTGTTTAACCTTCCTTTGCCAGTTTCAGACAAGAGTGATATTCACTTGATACCTACTCTCCCATCCTTTCCTCTATGTTTCTATGCTCTTCTTCTTATACACCCCAATTATAAGATATAGCAAGTTCTAATGCCTTCTTCTTCTTTTTATACTATTGTATTCCTATTACCCTCCTTCATCTTACCCTCTTCAGGCCCTTAGAACACAATTAATCCTTCCCTCTTTGATTTTGTTAATTCCCTCAATACTCTTTGAAAGGTATTACAGTTCTAAAAGGACACATTTCTTTCCCCCCATTAGAATATCAGCACTACATCATCATTAATCTCCTTCTAATTGCTTAAATTAATTTACTTTTTTAGGTTTCTCTGTACACTTGTGTTTTTGTTTCATGGTTCCTGCTCAGCTCTGGTCTTTTTACCTGGAAAGCTTTAAAATCTTCTGTTCCACTAAGGGTTTATTTTTTCCTTTATAGGATTATACTCAGCTTTTCAGGGTAAGTGATTTGTAGTTATAAGCCTACATCTTTTGATTTTTGAATGTTGTATTCCAAGATCTCCTTTCATTTGAAGCTGAAGTTACCAGGTCTTGTGTGATACTGATTGTAGTTCTTTGGTATTTGAACTGCTTCTTTCCTGATGCTTGCAGTATTTTTTCTTTGCTGTGGAAGCTCTGGATTTTAGCTATGACTTGGACTTTTCCTTTTAGGGTTTCTTGTTTTTTTTTAATTAATTAATTTATTTTTAGTTTTCAACATTCACTTCCACAAGATTTTGAATTCCAGATTTTCTCCGCATCTCATCCCTCTGCCCACCCCAAAATGGCATGCATTCTGAATACCCCTAACCTTTCCTCCCTTCTGTCTTTCCCCCCCTTCTCTTATCCCTTTCCCCTTAAGTTTTCCTGTAGGGCAGGTTAGATTTCTGTATCCCATTTCCTGTATATCTTATTTCCCAGTTGCATGTGAAAACAATTAAAAAAAATTTTTTTTTTAATTTTGGGTTCCAAATTTTCTCCCTTCCTCCCTCCCCACCCATCCTCATTGAGAAGGCAAGCAACTCAGTACAGGTTATACATGTGTAGTCATACAAAACACTTCCATAGTGGTCATGTGAAAAACTAAGTATATTTCCCTTACTCCTATTCTGCCCCCCCATTTATTCTATTCTCTCTTTTGACCCTGTTCCTCCTTAGAAGTGTTTGCTTCTGATTACCCCCTTCCCCAGTCTGCCCTCCCCTCTGTCATTCCCCTGCTCTCTTTTCCCCTTTCCCCACTATTTTCCTGTAGGGTAAGATAGATTTCCATGCCCAATTGAGTGTGTATGTTATTCTCTCCTTAAGCCAAATCCAATGAGAATAAGATTCACTCATTCCCTTTCACCTTCCCCCATTTCCCCTCCACTGCAAAAGTCTGTTTTATGTGAGATAATTTACCCCATTCTACCTCTCCCTTTCTCCTTCTCCCAATATAATCCTCTCTCACCCCTTTATTTTATTCTCCAGATATCACCCCTTCATCTTCATCTCACCCTGTGCCCTCTGTTTATCTGTCTGTCTGTCTATCTATCTATCTACATACATATAATTTTTTTCCCTCCAACTACTTTAATACTGACAAAGGACTCACGAGTTACAGATATCATCTTTCCATGCAGAATGTAAACAGTTTAACCTTAATAAGTCTCTTATGATTTCTGTTTCCTGTTTACCTTTTCATGGTTCTCTGGAGTCTTATATCTGAAAGTCAAATTTTCTGTTCAGCACTGGTCTTTTCATCAAGAATGCTTGAAAGTCCTCTGTTTCCCTGAATATCCATTTTCCGCTTATGCTCAGTTTTTCTGGGTAGGTGATTCTTGGTTGTAATCCTATCTCCTTTGCCCTCTAGAATATTAAATTCTAAGCCCTTGGTCCCTTAATGTAGAAGCTGCTAAATCTTGTGTTATCCTGATTGTGTTTCCACAATACTTGAATTGTTTCTTTCTGGCTGCTTGCAATATTTTCTCCTTGACTTTGGAACTCTGGAATTTTTCTACAGTATTCCTAGAAGTTTTCCTTTGGGGATCTCTTTTAGGAGATGATTGGTAGATTCTTTCGATTTCTATTTTGCCCTCTGGTTCTAAAATATCAGGGCGTTTTTCCTTGATAATTTCTTGAAAGATGATGTCTAGGCTCTTTTTTTGATCATGGCTTTCAGATAGTCCAATAATTTTTAAATTCTCTCTCCTGGATCTATTTTCCAGGTCAGTTGTTTTTCTAATGAGATATTTCACATTGTTTTCTATTTTTTCATTCTTTTGAACTTGTTTTACAGTGTCTTGATTTTTCATAAAGTCACTAGCTTCCAATTGCTCCATTCTAATTTTTAATACTTTTAAGAAGTATTTTCTTCAGTAAGCTTTTGGACTTCCTTTTCCATTTGGCCAATTTTGCTTTTTAGGCATTCTTCTCCTCTTTGGCTTTTTGGACCTCTTTTGCCGTTTGGGTTAGGCTATTTTTTAAGGTGTTATTTTCTTCATTATTTTTTGGGTCTCCTTTAGTAAGCTGTTGACTTGTTTTTCATGATTTTCTTGCATCACTCTCAGTTTTTCCTCTACTTCTCTTCTCAGAATCCTTTTTGAGCTCTTCCATGACCTGGGACTGATTCACATTTTTCTTGGAGGCTTGACTTTATTGTCTTCTTCTGGTCCTATGTTTTGATCTTCTTTGTCACCAAAGAAAGATTCTATGGTCTGCCTATTTTTGCGCAGTTTGCTTATGTTAAGATAGGGGTCTGGTTCCAGTGTGGAGAATGTACTGTCCCAAGCTTCAGGGGGTTTCGTGCAGCTGTTTTCAGAGATACTTCTAGGGACCTGTAAATTTTCAGTTCTTCCAAGGTGTATAATCAAGGGCGAGGTGTTTACTCCTTTCCTGGCCTGTGCTGTGTTCTATGAGTGACCACAAGGACTCTTTTCTGCCTTGGAACTGTAAGGAGGATTCCTTCTGTACCACCACCACCACAAGCTCCACCACACCAGTGTACTTTCTTGCCCCTGGACTGCCACCCAGAGCTGTGACCCAGATCCAAGTATGGACAAAGCAAGAGAATCCTGCCTCAGCACCAGCAAAGAGGCCTCTGCAATCCTCCTCTGATCAGCCACTGGCTTCCCGCTCAGTCTGTGGGCTGAGAGCTCTGGAAGCAGTCATGCCTTGGGGCTGCGCTGGGACTGGGGCTAGATGGAGCTTCTCTCTGACTATGGTCACAGACCTTTCCTACTGACCATCTAAGTTGTATTTGGTGTTTGTGGGTTGAGAAGTCTGGAGACTGCCACAGCTCCCCTTGATTCAATCCCCTGAGGACTGTTCCAGGTTCTCTGAGGCCTGGTCTTTGCCTGTGTGCCCATGCTAAACTGCTCTCCTCTCCCAGCCCGGTGTAATAGACCTTTCCAATCAACCATCCAGGTTGTCTTGGGCTGAGAATTTGTTTCACTCTGTCTTTTTGTGGGTTCTGCTGCTGTAGAATTTATTTAGAGCAATTTTTTACAGGTATTTGGAGGGGTTTGGGGGAGAGCTCAAGCAAGTCACTGCTTTTACTTCACTATCTTGGCTCTGTCCCCCCTACTGCTATTCTACTACAACATACAGCCCTCTTCAACAAGCATTTATTAAGCACCTTCTATGTGCAAGGCAACTCACAACTCTATGGGACCGGTTGTACAACTAATATTATCCACATTTTGCAAATGAGGAAGCTTAGATTTAAAGAGGTCAATCCATTCTTCCACATATTCCTACAGAATAAATGTGAAAGCCATGATTTGATTCCAGATTTGATAACTTTAAGTCAAGCTCTTTCTACTGCAATACAGTGCTTCAGCAAAATGTTTATGTCTCACCTGATCTTCACATAATATTTCCTTGAAGTAAGTAGTTCAAATATTATTATTAATTTCATTTTACAGACTAGGATACTGAATCTTGAAGAAGTGAAGTGAAGTGATTTACCAAAGGGTAGAGTGCTATCACGTGACAGAACTAGACTTCAATCCTAGTTTTCTGACGTTGAGTCTAGTGTTCCTTCCTCTTTATTCTTCTCTATAACTCAACTAATCTAATTTTAGATTAAGGCTTTGTTCCCCTTCAGCATGAAAGTACTTCTGACATTTTAAGCTGTTTTCTTTCATTTATGACTTGTGAATGTGCTTCAGATCACTCACCAGAAAAGGTCTTTGATAGAGAAGAGAGGAAGATGATTCTTGATAATTGAAAAAGTAAGGAGATAGCTCAAAAAAGGAAAAAGGTTGCAGTACAGAGTTAGTTTATACCTATAAAATTAGTTTAATAATATCAGAGATCACTTTCTTGGTGATAGAGGGAGTGTGTATATATATATATATATATATATATATATACATACATTCACGTATATACGTATATACATACACTTATGTATAGGTATCTATAAATATACTAGGTATGTACACACGTATGTATAGATACCTATACATGTGTATACATATACATGTGTATGTATTCATATATACACATGTATACAAAAATATACAAAATTACATTCATCACAAGAGACTAGAATTTCAGCAATATAACATTTCTCCTTTGTTAACAAATTTAATAGCCTTTCAGAAACTTGAAAGGTAAATTGATAACTTCCTTATTCCTTGTGCTTCTCTCTTCTTTTTTTACTTTCTGCATAACTTTTTTCCTCTTCTTTTTCCTCAGTTGCTGATTTTGTGGTGTTAGATCCCAGAATTGCAGCATGGCTTCTTGATCCTAGTGATACTCTTTTCTCCTTTGAAGATTTAGTAAGGAAATATTTTGAAGAATCAGTCACAATGAAAATGAATAATACAAATGGAGGTTCTTCACACAATATGGTGGTGAGTCATTTTAAAATAGCCACAGATTTAAAAACAAATTTGCATATAAATAGATGATTGTAAGAGAGAGATAAATCACTTTTTAGACTTCTCCTTAGCCCCAAGAGGGGGATTAAGTAATTACTTCATAGAATCATGGAATCTTAAGAGGTGGAAGAGATATTAGAGTTCCAGCTTCATGTCATTCTCAAGATTCTTATGGATAGACCTGTATTAGAAGGTGAATATCAATTAAAAATTAAGATAAATCATCCCTGAGTAATCTTGTATCATTTGACAAGGGGTCATTAGCATACCCCTCTGTAAATATATCGTTAAGAGAAGTAATATGTCCTACAGTAGCTTTCTTCAGAGTAGAAAACCAAGCACATTAGGCAAGAGAATGCCAACAGTTAGGCAAATTGTATTTGTTTTTAATTTCAGGTGACTGGAATACTTTGAGTGCCCCCATATTATATGATCCCTTCTGGTTATTTCAGAATCAGATAAACTTTATCGAAAGATTATGATTTAGATAAACAGGTACTATCTCACATTGAATGAAAGGTTGTAGATGGATTGATGCTTTAAGTAGATCAGTAGTTTCTACCCCAAAATATACTCCTACCAAGAGACTACTTCTCCCATCAAAGTCTCAGTTTAGGGGATGGGCATAAGAAATTAGGGAGAAGGAAGAAGGTGGATTTGGGAGAAGGAGGAAAAAGGAGAGGAAAGGGATGAAGGACTCTTTTTTTTTCCTCTGCAGTTTGTAGGTTTTAAGAGATGGGAACCATGGCATTAAAAACTTCACAGACTGGTAAAAACAAACAAACAAACATGCCATGGATGAGTGCCATCCTATGAATAGTAGCTGGGAGACATTGGTCTAGATGACTTCTAATTTTTTTTTTTTTGGTGAGATCAAGTGTTGGTGTTTTGACATTTTATCAATTTTCTTTTTATATCATTGTCACTTCAGTTTCTTCTCCAGCTAAATAGAAGCAACTACTTCCTCCCCACATTATAACAAAGTAGTACAATTGAGCAAAATAATCACATATTGACTGTGTTTGAAAAAGTGTGCTCTGAAGTTTAGCTCAAGATGACCAAATAAGTAGAAGCAGAAAAGCCCAGTTCTTTCATAACTATTTCAAAAAGGATAAAAATGAACATGGAACCAAGAAATAATTTTTAAAAATCAAGAGAAACCATAACTAAGTGCATTGTGTTAATTCACACAAAAAGAAAACTAGAAACCTGTGGGTAATAGAGAAGGGGTCTAACCAGAAAAGCCTATTCTAGAGCACAAAGCATGAATGCCTTCTAGCTCTCTAACTACAGACAACCAAGGTAAGGCTAGCACTCTGTACCAGGTATAAAGAGAAAGGAGCTCAGATCAGGGTCTAACCAAGGGTTCCTGAAACAGGCAGCTGTGTCCTCTGATTTGAAGCTAGGGCTCAGGCCTACTAGGCTCAGACCAGGAGGGAAGTGATCAAACTGCAACATATAGGTTGCCTTAGCTCAGACTTCCTGTCTAGATTGCCCAGGTATACACCCCAGGAGCACTGACCAGCTCATATAGACTGAACATGTTAGGCAGACACCAGGTGATAGAAATCAATATAAAAAAAAATCTCACCATTCTTTCCAGAAATTTGCAGAGCCTGACCCTGGCTTAAAGTCCTAATTCAGAAAAATGAGTAGATAGGTAGAATAGTAGATAAATTGAAGAAAATATTGATAATCAAGAAATATTTTGAAACTGAAGATGCCCAAGAAAAAAAGACCCAAAAGAAGAGAATAATTTAGTAACATCAAAACCAGAGCACTTCAAAGGAATTTACGGATGTGCCACAAGATATATTGGAATTTCTGGAAGAAATGAAGCAAGAGTTTAAAAATGATCATAAAAATAAAATGGAATTTTGGAGGAAAGAATTGGAAAAGAAGTGAAAGTTATAGAGGAAAGACTTGAGAGGAAACAGCTTAGGAAGTACATACTATTACTCAATTAACAAATTCCTTAAAAATTAGGTTGAACCAAATAGAAATCAGGAATTCCATGAGACAACAATAAATATTAGATCAAAGTGAAAATACTAAAAAGCATCAGAAACTATATATATTATCAAACAGCAATGACCTAGAAAACAGGCCAAAGAGAAAGAATCTAAGAATTGTTGGATATTAACCAGAAAACCTCCACCATTAAAAAAGCCTAGATACTATATATCAAGAAGTCATAAATGAAAACTGCCCAGACCTATTTACAATCAGAGGGCAAAGTGAAAGGAGAAAAGAATCCATTAACCACTTCCTAAAAGAAACCCCAAAATAAATACTCCTAGGAATATCACAGCCCAAATCCAGAGTTTTCAAATCAAAGAAAAAGTACTATTTAACTAGCCAGAAAGAAAGAATTCAGATGCCAGGGAGTCACAGCTAGTGTCAAGCAAGATCTGGTAGCTACTGCCATAATGGACAGGAGAACTTGTAATATAGCATGACAGAAGGCAAAAGATAAAGTCATATAAACAAGAATTAAAGCCCTGCAAAGTCGAGTATAACTTAAATAAAATAGAGGACTTCCAAATAATCCTGATAAAGAGTCTAGAACTTTGAAATGCAACACAGGGATCAAGAGAAACATATAAAAGTTAATACATTTGAGTAACTGGAAGAGACTTTATAATAATGAAATGTGTATTTTAATAGGGAGAGAGGAAACAAGTGTCTAAAGAATCCTAATGTCTTCATGGATCATAGAGTAAATAAGGCAGAGGGCGTGGACATAGTTTTTATTACATTTTGATGATCTTAAGAGAAAAAAGAAAAGAGAAAGAAAAGATAATACGCTAGGGAAGAAAGGAGGAAGGCAGCAGAACATAGCTCCCATAATTGGGGTGAGCCAAAAAAAAAGACTATAAACATAGAGGAAGGGGTAAGGGAATGTGCTTCACATGGATCTCATTTTTATTTGAACAAAAGATCAAATAGGTCCAGAGACTGGGGAACCCTGTATGTCCCCTATAATCGTGGGATGTTCTTTTGATACCAAAGGAAGAGGCCAAGTATCTCCATATTGATTATAGGTGGTAGTTTACTCAATCATTACTTACAAAGCAGGGGCAGTCTGGGGCAGCTGCCAGACAATTCAGTGGATCCCTGCTAAAAACCCTCAAAAATCCCTGTGGTAATTATAGTAAACAGACAAAGGCAGGAGGTGCTAGAGAATGCATCACTACTGATTGGATATTTTTGTTTTTCTGCTTAGTAATGAGATTGGGGGTTAAGCCAAAGTTATGCCCAAACATAAATTTGTGTATTGATCATGTCCCAGTCACATATGGCCCGTGATATTCTTGTTTTGGCTTTCATAGGTCACAGTATCTTAAGTTATGACTCAATGTTTAAAATATAATTCAGTATCTGAGTTATGATTGTAAACAGGTCACCATGTTTGGGCTTCGACCTATCATAGAGTTTAAGGTTTTATGGCTTTTTATATATTACTTATTCACTTATTTTTATGGCTTTTTCCCAGTTGGGACACACACACAGACACACACACAAGAGTTTGTGTAAAAATATGTTAAATGGAATAGGAAATCAAGTAGGGGTAGGGTAAGTGTGAGTAATAGGAAGGGTAGTTTTAGGGAGGAATTAGTTAAAAAAAAACAACTCTATCTTCAGAGGGTAGAATATGAAGTGAGGATGAAATGGAAGAAAAAAAAAGAGTAAGAACCTGTGATCAGGAACTGGATAATAAGAAGAGAAGAAAAGTAATGGAATGGTAGCATGTTGCATAAAATATAGATCATTATGATTGTACACACTCTTTTCTCAACATCGTCTTTAGGAAGAGAGGGATAAGGAAAAGAGATGGAAACTTGTCATAGGATAGGATGGGGGGAAATCAAAACAGTTAACAATTATAACCATGAATGTGAAAGTGATGAATTCATCCGTAAAATGAAGGTATCAGAATGGATTAGAAAGCAGCATCAAGCAATAAGTTGTTTACAAGAAATGTATTTGAAAAAGAAAGGTTCACCCAGAGTTAAAATGAGGGAGAACAAAATCTATTATCCTTCAGGTAAGCTCAAAAAGCAGAGTTAGCAATCATAATCTCAGACAAAGCAACAATAAAAATATTCAAATAAAATATACAAATGGGAACTACAGTATGCTTAAGCGTACCATAAACAATGAATTCATGTTAATACGTAACTTATAGGCACCAAATGGCATAACATCTAAATATTGAAAGCAAAAATCAAATGAGTTATGAGGAGAAACAGGCAGCAGTACTACAATAGTAGAGAGTCTCAGTGTACCTCTTATATACCTAGAAATGTTTAACAAAGCAATAAACAAGAAAGAAATTAAGGACCTGGATAAAATTTTAGATATGTTAGATATTATAGCTCTCTGGTGATAACGGGAGTATACCTATTTTTCAGCTATACATGGAACCTTTACAAAAATTTACCATATGTTAAGGCATAAAACCTCACAGAGAAATGCAAAAAAACCAGAAATATTAAACACATCCTTAACTGACTACAATGCAATGACAATTATGTTCAAGAAAGAATTAAAAATTACTTAGAGACTAAATAATCTAATTATAAGGAGGTAGTGGGTTGGAGAACAAATTACAGAAACAATAGAAAAATTCCAAACAAAATGATAAAAAGGAAGGCAAAAACAGTCTTTGCTTTTGAGGAACTCATGTTCTAATGGGGGATGTGACATAAAACTAGGTACATATAAGATACATATATACAGAGCAGTTATAAAGCAATCTCTTTTTAAAAATTTATTTTTTTTATTAAAATATTTTTTGTCCTCCACTTTTATTGGAAAAACCAAACCAAAACCAAGTAACACTTATACATGGTCAATCAAAACAAATTCCCATGTTGACTATGTTCAAAAAATGTTTTATTCTTTGCCCTGACTCCATCCCCTCTTTCAGGAGGTGTATAATAACATGCTTTATTATTTGTCCTCTGGAAGATGTAAGACAGTCTCAGAGGGAAAGGTACTGCCACTGCTGTGGCCAGGAAAGAGACCTCCTATAGAAAAAGAGATTTCAACCAAGTCCTGGAAAAAACCAGGGAAACTTAATTGGTGGAGGTGAAGAGGGAGAATATTCTAGTCAGTGAAAATCACAGAGAAAGATGGAGTGTCCTTTGCGAGGAATAATAAGTAGCTCATTGTAGCTGGGTCATAGATTACTTAGAAGAAGGAAAGTGTAAGAAGACTAGAAAAGTAGGAAGGGTCACATTGTGAAGATCTTTAAATGCACTTGGACAGATCTATATTTTAGAAAAATCACTTCGGCAGCTGAGTGGAGCATAAATTGAAGTGGGAAGAGGTGAGGCAGGAATACTATATTATACTATATATACCTGTATGTTATACTGTACTGTATTAATATTATATCATAGTAGTCCAATGAAAAGTGATGAATGCCTGAACTTGTGTGGTAGCTGAGTGAGGGGAGAGTCAGGGTTGTATATAAGAGATGAAGTGGAGGTAGAAAAGAAAGGATTTGGCAACAGATTGGATATGTGAGTGAGATTGGGGAGTTGAGGATGACACTAAGTTTGTCATGAGTAACTGAGATGGTAGTGCCATAAATTCAATCCTGAAGAATTGGTAGATCGAAAAAGAAATCATAGAAAAAATAGAAAATTAAAGAAAATGACAACAATGAAACCACATTTCAAAACTTAGGATGCAGTCAAAGCAGTCCTTAGGGAAAATTTTACATCACTAAACACTTTCATCAATAAAAGAGGGAAAAAACAAATCAATGAATTGGGCATGTAACTTAAGAAACCTTAGAATATAATTACAACCAAGAATCACCTACCCAGCAAAACTGAGTATAATCCTTCAGGGGAAAAAATGGTCATTCAGTGAAATAGAGGACTTTCAAGCATTCCTGATGAAAAGACAAGAGCTAAACAGAAAATTTGACTTTCAAATACAGGACTCCAGTGGAACATGAAGAGGTAAACAGGAAAGAGAAATCATAACAGACTTTATTAAGATTGAACTGTTTACATTCCTGCATGGAAAGATGATATTTGTAACTCATGAGAACTTTGTCAGTATTAGGGTAGTTGAAGGAAAAAAATTGTATGTATGTATATATAGATAGATAGGCAGAGGGCACAGGGTGAGTTGAAGATTAAGGGGTCATATCTGGAGAATAAAATTAAGGGATGAGCGAGGATGATACTTGGAGAAGAAAGGGAGAGGTAGAATGGGGTAAATTATCTCACAAAAAAAAACAAAAGAAAAGTCTCTCATAGTGGAGGGGAAACAGGGGAAGGTGAGAGGGAATGAGGGAATCTTATTCTCATAGGATTTGGCTTAAGGAGAGAATAACATACACATTCAATTGGGTATGGAAATCTGTCTTACCCTACAGGAAAATAGTGGGAGAAGGGGACAAGAGACCAGGGGGGTGATAGAGAGGAGGGCAGATTGGGAAAGAGGGTAATCAGAAGCAAATACTTCTGAGGAGGGACAGGGTCAAAAGAAAGAATAGAATAAATGGGAGGGCAGGATAGGATTAAGGGAAATAGAGTTAGTTTTTCACAACACGACTACTATGGAAGTGTTTTGCATAGCTACACATGTATAACCTATATTGAATTGCTTGCCTTTTCAATGAGGGTGGGTGGGGAGGGAGGAAGGGAGAAAATTTGGAATTCAAAGTTTTAAAAACACATGTTTTAAAAAAAATGTTCTCACATGCAACTGGGAAATAAGAAATACAGGAAATGGGGTACAGAAGTCTATCCTGCTCTACAGGAAAATAGAAGGGGAAGGGGATAAGAGAAGGGAGGGGGGAGAGATAGAAGAGAAGGCAGACCAGGGGAAGGGGTATTCAGAATGCATGCCATCTTGGGGTGTGGGGAGGGGTCAGAAATTTGGAACTCAAAATCTTGTGGAAGTGAATATTGAAAACTAAAAATAAATAAATTTGTATGTATGGAAAAAAAAAGAAAACTTAGAATATAATTTTTTTTTTAAAAAACCAAACACCAAAATGTTAAGTCCATACCAGAAAGTATTAGAAATAAACTATCGTGTGCCTTTCACAGCTGTCTCTTGGGGGAAGATTCTTAACCAAACAAGGATAGAGATAAAATATAAAATCAATAATTTTGATTATGTGAAATTGAAAAGCTTTTGAACAAGCAAAATCAATGTAACTAGAATAAGAAGGAAAGTGGTCAATGTAGAAAAAAAAATCTTCCATCAGATATCTGTGATAAGGGTTTGAAATCCATGATTTTTAGGGAACTAATACAAACATATAAGACCAAGAACCATATCTCAGTGAATAAGTGGTCAAAGGAACATCTGTTCTCAAAATAAGAATTGCAAATTATTAACAACCAATTCAAGAGTTCTGAAATCTCCTTATCCAAGATAAGGATAAGGATAACCATAATCTGTTGGCTTTTGGCTTTCCATCTCTCCCTCTGCCTTCCTTTACCAAACTCCACTCTTTGTACATACAGCCTTTTACTCCCGAGTTCTTTCCCAGGCCGTCTCCCTTGTATAAGCTACTCTCTCTTTACCCCATCTTGATCCCTTGGTGAACCAATTCAACTCTACACTGCCCTCCTGTCTTAAGTCCTTAACTGCCTTATCATTTCTCTGATTGTGCCTTGCTGAACGTCAGTCTTGGAGGTTTATTTGCTGCTTTTCACTCCTCATGTGCTGCTAAACGAAAGTGAAGAAAATCATGCAGCCATTCTGACTGGGTCTACTACAAATTTATGCTACATAACCTCAACTGAACCCCCACTACTACTAGGCAGTCCTACTGTTCCTCCATTTCCAACTGCATATCCCATAGTGGTTTCCTCTCCCCTTCTCTTCTTAGCTGAGAATCTTGCCTCATGTTTTACAGAAAAAAATGAAGTTAATCTGTTGTGAGCTTCATCTTCTCCAAACCCATCTATCTTCCCTATTCCTGTAGAAAGAAACACCTTCAGTATACAATCCAAAATCCTCTTTTTGGTGTTCGAATTCCTTCATGACCTAGCCCCCCTCCTTCCTTTTCAGTATCCTTACACTTGCTATCCGTCATGTACTTTTTGATCCAGTGACACTGTCCTCCTTGTTGTTCAACAGAGAAGACTCTCGGCATTTTCTCTGACTGTCCCCCATGCGTGTTATACTCTCCCTTCTCATCTCTGCCTACTGATTTCCTTGGTTTTCTTAAAGTCTCAGCTAACATCTCATCTATGGAAGCCTTTTCTAACCCTTCTTAATTCTAGTGCCTTCTTTCTTTTAATTTTTCTACTTTATTTATCCTGTATGTAGCTTGTTCGTATAAATTTGTTTACTTGTTATTTTCCCTATTAGATTGTGAGCTCCTTGAGGGTAGGGACTTAAAAAAATTTTTTTAAAATTTTTACCTTTTTGTATCCCCAGCACTTAGTCATATGCCTGGCATATAGTAAGTATTTAATAAATATTTATTGACTGACCATTGGGAAAATTTTTGACTGTCTCCTATTCCCCTTGCCTCACAATCACCTTGTGGCTGCAGCAGGTGCCCATTGGTAGGCTCTGCACTCTGGAGCAATGACTGGCAAGAGCCCTGCCTCTCTCATTTTTGTTACTGGACTTTCATTGATAGCTGCTGTGATGCAGACATGCTAGAGAAAATTTTCAGGCTAGTAACATTTTTTTTTTGTCAGGTGGAGGGAAATGTTTTCTTTAATATGTCTTCTAGGTTTGTATAGCCTTTTAGATTGGGATGAATATTGCTGTCAAGTTTACCTATTTATTTTATAATTTTTTCATCAGAACCTATGTTCAGATTTGAGGATCCTTTACAGACTTACAGTGGATCTTTGTTCTAAATTAAAGGCAAGAATTTTATTATTTTTATCATTAATTAATTTAGTTGAAAGTGAGGAAGATGCTTGTTTTTTCAACTCCCCTTTTAACACCTATCACCTACAATATCTTTGAATGTGAAGGATGATAAGATAGTAAGATATAAGATACAGTAACATCCCTGTCCTATGACAAAGGAGGGGGCAGGGATGGTAAGATATTAAGTTAGAAGATAAGTGAGTTATGTTGTTTCTATGGAAAGAAAAGAATTCCAATAATGTTTAGTGCCCTAAAATCTATTAAAATCTATTCTTTGCCATGTGCTTAAAATGTAAGGAAATTTTTTAATAGGTTGCTTCATTTCAGATACTGCCATTGACATAAAATGTGAGAATTAACATTTCCTAACTTTGTCTTTTGAAAATATAAATTAAACCTTGGGCTTGGTTGTTGTTCAGTTGTGTCTGATTCTTCATGATCCCATTTGGGGTTTTCTTGGCAAAGACACTGAAGTGGTTTGCCATTTCCTTCTCTAACTTATTTTACAGATTAGGAAATGGAGGCAAACAGTGTTAAGTGACTTGCCCAGGGTCATACAAATAGTAAGTGTCTGAGGGCAAATTCAGGTTTTCCTGATTCCAGGCTCTATCCACTGTGCCACCCAGCTGACCCAGAAAATCTTAGGCTATGGCGATCTAACTCTATAAAATAATTTTTTGGTAGTTTAATTGGTATGGCACTGAATAAGTAGGCCATGGTGATCTAAATTTAAATCCTGGAGTCCCCAAGGAAAGGTTTCAGAAAGAACCTGACCTTGTTCCGTGGATTGAAAAACAAACAGCTTTCCTTCTATAGACCCCTTGCCTGAAGGTTCTGCTTAGATAGTAGTTTCCACCTGATATGTATTTGCTTATCTTGATAGTAGAGACATTGAAATAAAATAGAACTGAAATGAACAGTCAGACATTTTGTTTTGGGGGAACTCAAGACCACTGAAATTTGGTTTCCATTTTAGCTGAAACTTCTTATGTAGTATTTAGATTGTTTGCCCCAGTTATTAAAATATGAAATTCCCTTTAGTTTGCAACTTCTCTTTAGAATGATAACTGTAGTGCTGTCTTAATATCTCTCTCAACATTTACTGTACTTTACTGTAAAGTACATTAATAGCAATAAAAAGCAAGTAATATATTTGTGAATTTTTCCTACAATGCAGGTTTGTGGTCTGTGGCAATTATTTTATACTTTGGAACTTCCTCTGATACCCATTTTGGCAGGTAAGAAGATAAAATTGAAAGAAAAATGTTTTACAACTGAGACTTCAGAAATCTCACATATATTATGATTATTGCTTAACTGTTCTTAGATTCAGCTTCTCTCCTTTCTAGTTCATCCTCCACATTGTGGCAAAATTGATATTCCTAAAACACAGATTTGACTAGGTCATTTGCCTGCTCAGAAGCTTCAGTGATTCTTTGTTGCCTGCAGGTTAAAATACAAACTTGTCTGTTTGATGTTTAAAATCTGTCATAATCTGGCTTCAGCCTATCTTTCTAGGAATAATTAATCATACCTCATCCCCCCTCGTAGACTCTGCATTCTAGCCAAACCAGAGTACTTGCTATTCCTCATACATGATATTGTATCTCCCATCCTCATGCCTAGAATGCTCTCCTTCCTCGCCTCTACCTTTTGGAATTTCTAGATTCCTTCAAGGCTCAGCTCCAGCACCACCACCTACAAGAGCTCTTTTCTGACTCTCCTAAGTATTAGTTGTTCCCCCTCCCCGAGTGCTTTGTATATATTTTGTTTTTATTTCTTTATATTTTGCATTTCTCTTTATGTTGTTTTCTCCCATTAGAATGTGAGCTGTCTGGGGGCTTTTTTGTCATTGTATCCCTAGTGCCTAGCCACAGTGCCTGACATATAGTAAGGGCTTGTTGAAGTGAATGGAATCACCTGGGTCTAATTCTCCCTTTCATTAGGAAGGATGATTTCAGTAGGTCATCTCAAGTGCTGATGAAACTGAAAACAGCCTTCCTGTGTTCCTCAGTTATCTGTAAAACAATAGACTAGACATTCTTTAAGTTTTCTTCCTTCTTTGACTTTCTGTGTTCAAAAATCTCTTCACGTTCTGGATCTTTTATAGCCTCTGATTTGTTTAGACAGCTGACAGAAATGGAAAAAAAAATACCCCAATGTGTTGTTCTTGGTTCAGGGGGTGGGGAACCTGTGGGCTCTAGGCCGTATGTGGGCCTTCTAGGTCCTTGGGTGTAGCCTTTTGACTGAGCCCAAATTTTACAGAACAAATCCTTTTATTAAGGGGATTTGTTCTGTGAAGTTTGGATTCAGTCAAAGGGCCACACTTGAGGACCTAGAGGGACACATGTGGCCTTGAAGTTGCAGGTTTCCCACCCCTGTCCTTGGTCTATGACTGTCCTGCTGTATTGTGGCCAGGGAAAGGGTCATCTTCTTATATTTGCAATAAGAATAGTTTAATTTCTAAAGTACTTTAAAGTTTACAAAATACTTTCTTTGCAACTACCTTGTAAGGTTGGTAGTACAAGTATGATTTACTCTCTTTTTATATATGAGGAAACTGAGACTCAGAAAAGTATAATGACTTGGCTAGTGTTTCACATGCTGTGAGTCAGAACCAGAACTCCTCATTTCAAGTCCTCTACTATCTCTCAAACATACATGATTAACTCTTATTAGTCCAGTTTATCTTTCCTTGTTCCCCAACTGTTTATGCTCCTCTTTTCCACTAGGGAGCATAATGGAGCTGTCTTTATTTCTTATAGAATTACTGCAAAGCCTCATTTTCTCTCTCTACCTCCTTGACCTTCATCTGCTTTACTCTTGTTCACACTGTACATGTAGAGGAGTGTAGTCTGGAACTGAATTTCAGCAACTGTGCCTGTGGAGGTGGGTGAAAAGTTTTTTAACCACTGATTCCTTATTGGCAACTACATACTGACTGTAAAGATATATGCTTATACAGAAATACCCATCCTTCTTAAGGCCACTAGGTTTGAAGAAAACACTATGTTAGGTTAATCAACAATTTCTAAATGACATCAGTCTAAGGATCAGTTTTATCAGCAACTTAATGTTCGGGCAAGTTAAGAACAGTGAGACACAAGCACTAGCTCAGATTGTGACCAGCCATACAACTTGTATCTCAGATGCTTGGTCAAATGAAGGACTTTGAGAGATGTTATTGTGAGAAGATTTTGGCCAACTAAATATTATGTGGAATATGCCTGTATAGATCCTTTCCTGCCTACAACATTGAGTTAAACTGATAACTTCAAGAGTTATTTGTTAATGTATATGAATAGTACCTATTTTGTTATGTGAATTTCAGTGATGGAAACCCATAAAATTCAAGTGAATAAAGAAGAAATGAAGAGAACATCAAAACTTCTTGGGGTAAGTTAAGATTTTTAAGGTTACTTTCTATGTTAGGATCATTTTTCATTTAAAATTGGATTTGTCCAGTTGCAGGTTATGCTTCCTTACGTTTGAAATAAGAAGAAAAGAACTTGAATGGTTTTCTCCCCTCTCATCACCACTCACTTCAGGGTAGCTTTGAATATCTTCTTCCATGGACTCTTAGAAGATCCATGCAACCCAGTAAGGCAAGAGGCAGAGTGTCCCTCTACTCACTAGGAACAAAGGCCTTTGAGTCTAACAGCGAGAACTAGACTTAGGACCTTGCGTATTCCACTACTGCTGTTGTAGGTAGGAGAATGATGATCATTGTAGTACAGAATTTGGTTATACCCTGCATGCCTCAAGGAAGGGAAAGGAAGAAGGCAGGAAGTAGTGAAATGAGGAAGAAGAAAGTGGAACAAAAAGGTCTGTGGAGTGTATTTGAGACTGCTTTCTATCAGCTTAGAAAAGGAATTAAAGTCTTCCTAAAAGAACCCAAACCTTTCATTTTCACCTTCTTCTCTCGTTTATCAAATTTCTTCCTATCTTTAAAGCCCAAGTCAAATGCTGTCTCCTAAATGAAACCTTCCCTTATTCCCATTCCCCATTCCTCTTGATAATAATCTTTCTATCTTCAATCAACCAGTCAACATATATATGCTAGGTACTATGCCAAGTGCTTGGGGTAACAAGAGAGTGAAAATATGAACTACACTGAACTACATTAGTGATAAGGATATGATTCTAGAGAGATTCTAGAGAGGGCTGAACATTTCTGTGGTGTTCTCAACAGACCATCATCAATCAATGCTGAAGTCATTGACTGTTTACCTGAAGTTAACATCAGTCCCTCTCTAGCTGAACTTCCAACTGAAGAAGAGGTTTTGAATGCCGTTAGTCTCCTTTCATGTGGCAGAGCTCAGGTTTACAAGGCAAGGAGTCCACTACTCATACAAAAACTAACTGAAATTTTCCAGGCTATATGGCAAGAGGAGATTATCCCCCAGGGGTTCAAGGATACCTCCATTGTTCATCTCTAATAAAGGTAAAGGAAATAGGTTGTCCTGTGACAATCACAGGGTGGTCTGTCTCTCAGTCATTGCTGGCAGGGTTCTTGCCAGAGTCCTCGTTAATTAGCTGATCCTTCACCTGGAAAATGATCATCTTCCTGAGAGCCAGTATGGCTTCACAAAGGGCCAAGGAATGTTTGATATGATCTTTGCTGCCTGACAGCTCCAGGAGAAATGCCAGGAGCAGAACAGAGGCCTACATACAACATTCATCAATCTGGCCAGGGCCTTTAATACTGTCAGTGATGAGGGCTTGTGGAAATTTATGGTGAAATTTGGTTGCCCTGAGAAGTTCTTCAGTATTGTATACCAGTTCCCTGACAGCATACTTGCACAAGTAAAGGATAATGAACTCATATTCTTGTGCTTTCCCAGTCACCAATGGAGTGAAGCAGGGCCATGTGCTTGCTCCTGTGCTTTTTAGTATGATGTTTTCAGCAATGTTGTCAGACTTCTTCAAAGAAGATGAAAATGACAGCAAATTATTTAACTTGAAAGGTTGCAAGTCAAGCCTAAGCTGAGGGAGAGTTGGTACATGATTTTTCGCTCAGAGATGATTGTGTACTCAATGCAGCCTCTGAGTCTGGCATGCAACGAAGTATGGATTGATTCCCTGCTGCTGGTGCTAATTTTGGCCTAACAATTAGCACTAAGAAAACATAAGGTCTCCACTAGCCAGCACCACACCATATATATGTGGAACCATCGGAGCAAATGGAGGAATTTTTAATGCTGTGGATAAGTTTGCTTGCCTTGGCAGCATACTTTCCAAGGACATACACATAAACAATGAGGTTGATGCATGCATTGCCAGAGGTAGCTTAGTGTTTAGGAGGCTCTCAAAGAAAGTATGGGAGAGAAGAGGTATTAGATTGTCTACCAAACTGAAGGTCTACAGAGCCATTGTATGCCTGTGAAACCTTGACAATAGATCAACAACATGCAAGGAAAATGAAGTGCTTCCATTTGATTTGTCTTAGTAAGATTCTCAAGCTCATCTGGCAAGATAAGGTACTGAACACTGAAGTGCTTTCTTGAGCTGAACTGTCAGACATTCAAACTGATGGGCTGGCCACATTGTGCAAATGCCAAATGCATGTTTGTCTAAAAGACTATATGTTATGGAGAACTCACAAGGCAAGTGCCCACATGGAGGTCAGAAGAAGTAGTACAAGGACACTCTTAAGGTCTCTTTGAAGAACTTTAGGATTGATTGCTTCACGTGAGAGACACTGGTAAAGGACCACCCAGCATGGTGTGCCTGCATCAAAGATGGCGTTGTGCACTATGAGCAAAGCAGAATTGCAGTAGCTCAAAAGAAACGTGAGATACTCAAATTTGGAGACATCTCCCCTTCAAATGTTATGTGAACTATTTGTGCCCAACCTGTGGTAGAGCCTTCTGACCTTGTATTGGTCTAGTCAGCCGCTGTCAGACACACTGTATCTTGATTGCAACAGAGTGATGTCATTTTGGTCCTATTCAAGAATGAAGGATAACAACCACTAATTATTATTATTATTATTATCATCATTATCATGATTATTTTCAAACATGTTTGAGAATTGTGTTGATGACTTTCTAACTTCATTGGTATTTCTAACTTTATTGTAGTGATAAATTCTTTTGTTAAGTGAAATTTGTAGAATTACAGAATGTCAGAGTTAGAAAACGATCTTAGTGATCATCTGGACCAACCTTCTTGTTTTATACCAGGGAAAGTAGCTTGTGTAAGGTCACATGACATGGACTGTAAGTAAGTAGGACTTAAACCCAGGTCTTTTGAGTAGTATGCTAATAAGAGTTCTTCATAGCATCTAAAATGTGTCTTGACTCTGTTTATCTGTGTATAAGGTAATGCTTCATTATGGCATTGAGAGGAGCTCTAGGTTCTTGACAACTATGCTAGTGGAATTCTATCTCTGGTATATTCTAGTAAGCTGGAAAAGCTCTGAATACTGATCTCTCATTGGATTGTGTATCTCTTTTACAAGGCTCAGGGTAGGTAAGTTCTGGGAGACTAACTACCCATAAGGTTAGCTACCAGGTGACTTTTTTTTGTCCCCAACTTAACTCACTAAACAGTCTAATAAGACATTCAGAGCTTGTGGTTTACATTGGTGATGGGGGCATATGAACCAATAAAATAATTTTTCTCTAGCCTGTGTTGCTATTTAAGAGAGAAACCTAAATAAGTAAGAAATTTTAAAAATTAAAGATTTTTAAAAATATGAGTTTTGATTGGCGATTATTTTGTACTATTAAGATTCTTGTCATCTTATGAAATTCTTTAAAACTGAGAAAAGTTATTAGTGAAATGAATTTGTCACATTATTTTTGCAGTTTCATTTAAAGGAATTGGAAAAAGAAGCCCATGTTGCTGCAGGAGAGCAGTTTCTTGTTACTAGCAATAATCAACTTCGAGAGGTAAATCTATGTCTTTGTGCTTTATACAAAATAGTATCCTTGGGAAGTACATTTCTTACTTAAGAATTAGATAAAAGATTTTTGTCATGTTACAAACATTATCTATTTGTCATGTTAATGCTATGAAAATTGTAGCTGTTATTAATTTTCATATTGATATTTATTTCAAAGCTTTTTAAAAAAAAATTCAGGATTTAATTATTTTTATAATTTGTCAACTGGCATTCTCTTTTTGCTGGTTTCCTTTTTCATTATTTGCATCTCTTGTAACCACTATAAATTAGCTACTGTTGTAGTAATGTTTAGTTTATTTAATTTTGAAAGATCGTCATCATCTGAAATATCATCTTTATGCAGGTATTATTTGACAAGTTAAAGCTGCACTTGCTGTGCAAAAGTAAGACTGTCGCCCAAACCGAACTACAGAAACATCTGTCGACATCAGAAGCCACGGTGAGAAGTGAAAATTGCTCTTTTGTTTTTTGGCTTTTTTGTTCCAGATAGACAGAATCTAACAAAATGAAATTTAACATGGATGAGTGTAATGTGCTGCATTTAGGTTCAAGAAATTAATTGTACAACCATAAAAGTGGGGTATATGTACGTATGTTGGGGGTTTTAGTTGATTATAGGCTCAATATGATTTGTAAATGTGACAAGATAGACTAGACTAGGGAGGTAATAGTCTCATTGTATTTTCTGTTTGTTGGTCTCAGTCTCCAGTATTAGTTTCCATTCTGGGTACATTCTAGAAGGAATATTTGACAAATTTGAGTACTTCCAGAGGAGAGAGAAGAGAATCATAAGGAGATTTGAAGCCTGTCAACAATTCAGTTCATCATACACTTATTGAACAACTTAGTAATCAATCAATATTTATTAAATACCTCCTACTTCTAGGTATGGTTCTAAGTATTGGGGATACAAATAAAAAGAAAGTCAGCCTCTGCCCTCAAGGACCTTATAATCTGATATAGGAAGATAACACACAAAAGGAATCTGCAGGGGTGGGGTTGGGTGGAGAAAGTGCCCAGGGTAGGGGCATGATGGAGAAGTCCAAAAGAAATGCAGCCGATGGGAAATGAAGACATAATACACTTGTCCTGTAAAGGATAGTGTTGTGTTGGTGTTCAGTCCTTTTAGTTGTGTTCGTGTTTAGAGTCTTCATGATTCCATTTTGGGGTTTTCTTGGCAAAGATACTGGAGTGGTCTGCCATTTCCTTCTCCAGCTCATTTTACTGATAAGGAACTGAGGCAAACAGGGTTAAGTGGCTTGCCCAGGGTCACATAGCTAGCAAGTATTTAGGCTGGATTTAAACTTAGGAAGATGAGTCTTTCTGATTCCAAGTCCAGTGCTCTATCTCCTGTGACCTAGCTGTCCAGCTGTCATGTAAGGGATACAAATACAAAAACAAACACCTGTCGTCTTCAAAGAGTTGACATTCTAATGAGGAGGTACAACATATAACACATATAAGTAAAATATAATAATTTGGATGAGGACATATCATGTAGGATTAGGAAAGGTTTCAAGGAGAAGGTGACATCTCTGTAAAGAAGGTAAGGATTCTGAGAGGTAGAGTTAAGGAAGAAATATCTTCCAGGCATGGGGAGAAATCTCATGTAAATGTATGGAAGAGTACAGTTGGTAGCCCAATTGAACTGGAACATGGAGTGGTGAAAGGGTGACGTGTGAAATAAGGTTGTGAAATTAAATAGATTGTGGAGGTCCTCAAATACAAGACTGGAGAGTTTGTACTTTATTCTCAAGGAAAAAGGAAGCTATTGAAGGCTTTTGAAAAGGGCAATAACTAATTATTTTATAGTTGTGTGAAGGATGGAAAAGAGAGAGGAGAGATATTGGAAGTATGGAGACCAATTAGAATATTATTTCCATATGTGAGATGATAAAGTTGAGAAATAGGATATTGGCTATATAAGAAGTGAGTGGGTTAAAGAGGTGTAAAGACAGACTTGATGGTACTTGGGGACTGATTGATTGTGAGTGGTGAGGGGAGTTAGCTAGGGAAAACTGAGAGATTTTCATCTTGGTCCACTTATATTCACTTGTATTTAGGGCACTGGAATAGCAGCGCCTTCAATAGAAACAGGGAAATTTGGAGGAGGGTCAGGTTTAGGGAGGTACATAACCATTTCCATTTTAATGTATTGAATTTGAGGTTCCAAAGGGAAATGCAGGTGACAATGTCTAGCAGAAAGCTGGTAATGATGGGATGTGGGCCCAAGCCAAGATCTTCTCCCCTTGTCCCAAAGGGAATCTAGCTCCCATTTGTCTACAGGCCCCAGTTCCTCATCTCCCTTTGAAAGCCTTAGCCCTACCTTTTGATCTTATTCAGATGCACCTTTCACCCCTTCTCCTAAAAAGAATATAGCTTCCATTTGTCTACAGGCCCCAGAAAACCCTTAAACTTTTAGGTTCTGTATTGACTCCCCTTATCTCCCTTTGAAAGCCCTAGCCCCACCTTTTGGTCATTTCAGACTTCTTCCTTCCAGTTGCCTTCATTATCTATTCCCATTGTCTGTTCAATCCCTCAGACCTTCCAATTGGAATTCTTACCTAGACCCTTTTCCCAGCCCCCTCCTCTGGCCACCCAAAGTTACTTTAGTGTATATAAAATCCACCCTGGCCCCCATTCAAACACTGAGAATCTCTCATGCCCCAAAGGCTGAGCTTTTCTCATGCTGGCTTGTCCTTATGGGTGTCACCTGGCCTATATGATTTATCTCTAATAAACTTTTTCTCTGGCGGGAAGAAGATTTGAGTTGAATTCATTCAGGCAGGGCCTGCATCGCCATCTTGGGGTTCCAGCACCCCAAAGCTCTAGACCTCTTCAGTAATGTCAGACTAGAGTTCAGGAAATTAGGGCTGAATATGTAGATTTAGGAGCTGGCTGCATTCTAATGATAATTTAATCTTTTGGAGTAGATGAGATAGCCAGGGAGAGAAGGTAGAAAGAAAGGGCTCAGAATAATACTTTGAAGAAGGCCCACACTTAGGTAGTAGGATATGGTAAGCAAAAGAGACTGAAAAGGAGAAGTAAGAGAGGTAGAAGGAACCAAGAAAGAATAGTGTTTCCAACTTCAAATAAGAAGAGAATAAGTTGAATTAAAGGGTGATATAGGAAGGTCAATGAGGTCAAAAGCTATGAGGATGTCAAGGAAGATAAGGAATGAGAAGAGGGCAACAGATTTAGTAGTTAAGGGATAATTGGGAGAGGATTCTGAGAAGTATGGTAGAATAACACAGGAAATTACCTAGCTCTCCCAAATTCTCCCACAAACAATAGAAGGGGGAGAAGTGGTTGTTGTTGTTGTTGTTATTATTGTTTGCCCTTCTTTCTGGAAGATGACTAGGGGAGGTGATGCCATGACATGCAAGTACTTTGGGTTTAAGTGAGGGAGGGCTGTGCAAAATCACCAGCCTTACTTTCTCCTCTGGAGCCATCTGGTTCCAGTGGCAAGATATAGATCAGGATGACTGGAGATGGCTCTGGATGCAGTAAGAGACCTTGACCTTTTTAAACTTAGGTCTTTCCCAGGTCTCAGTTTGACTAAGGCAACACCCAATCAGTGATTAAGGATCGATAAGAAATGAGGCAGAGAATGGCCTCTTTTACCTAGTGGGGGAAAAAAATCAATCTGAGAGGAAAAGACCCTCTGCATTTCTGGTCCAAACAGAAATAATTGCTATTTACATTGGGGGAAAAAAATAAATCTGAGACGGAAAGACCCTCTGGATTTCCGGCCCAAATAGAAATAATTGCTATTTACATTCATTCTGAGCCAGTCAGGGCCCAAGCAATGACTGACCAAGTGGGGCTTGGCCTTGGATCTATTGTTGGCCAATCAATGAAAGCCAGTGTGATATGGGTTTAAGGCATTGTCTTCAAGAAGGAAATCCAGCCAGTAAACCCCAAGATATCTTTACAGGATTCTGTGATCAAAATTTAAATTCCTTTGGGTAGAGCACCCTCAGGTTAGGGAAAAGATAAGGGAAAGACCCTTAGAAGTGTGGGTAGATTAAGGAATCCTAGGGCAAGAAGAGAGGATAAGGGAGAGATTCTTAGAAGAGGAGGCAGAGGTCAGAAGTGAATTAGATGTCTGAGGAGGGATAGGGTAAAAAGAGAGGGAGGGAAGGATACAGTGAGAAGAAAATAGGATGGGAGAAAATATACAACTAATAATTATAACTTAATTGCTAATGGGATGAACTTATCCAGGAAACAGATAGCAGAATAGATTAAAAAGCAGAATCCTAAAATGTATTGTTTACAAGAAACACATTTAAAAATGAGAGATACACATAGAGTTAAAATTAAGTACTGAAGCAGAATTTATTATGTTTCAACTGATGCAAAAAAACCAGGGTTAGCAACCATGATCTCAGACAAAGTTGAAGCTAACATAGATTTAATTAAAATAGATCAACAGGGAAACTACATTATGTTAAAAGGTACCATAGATAATGAAGAAATGTCAGTACTTAACCTATATGTACCAAATGCTATAGCATGCAAATTTTTAAAGGAAAACCTAAATGAATTACAGGTGCAAATAGAAAACTATAACAGTAGGGGACTTCAGCCTTACTCACTCAGTATTAGATAAATTTAACAAAAAAAAATAAGAAAGAAGTCAAGGAGATGATGGATAGAATCTTAGCTAAGCTAGGTGTGGTAGATATCTGGAACTGAATTGAATTGGGATGGGATTGGGAAGAATTGAATGGGAATGGAAAGAAATATATCTTTTTCTCAGTGGTATATAGTACTTTCTCTGTTGGTGAAAGGGCATGAAGGTATAGAGGACTGATTGTACTAGAACCTTTTCATCAGAACTAGGTTATACATTTAGATGGTATGAAAGGCTTCTTAACTTACAGAGAAATAGGAGGGCAAGGTGATAGGTTAAAGGAGTGATTCTTAAGGGTGTACAGATTAAGAAATAGGAGGGTAAGGGGAGAGGATGAGAGAGGGACCATGAGAAGGGTGGGTAGATTAAAGTATAGGAGGGTAAGGGGGGAGAATAAGCAATGGATTCTTAGGAGTCTGGAGACAATAGTCAGAAGTAAATAGTAAATTAAGAGAGATAGGTAAAAAGAGAAGGAAAGAAGGATAAACAGTGAGGAAGAATAGGATGGAGGGAAATATACAACTAATCATTATAACTTTGAATGTGAATGGGATGAACTTAACCATGAAGATCACAAGTGAAACAAGGATGCCCATTATCACCAGTATTATTGAATATTGTATTAGAAAGCTAGCAATAACAATAAGAGAAGAAAAATTGAAGGAATTAGAATAGGCAATGAGGTAATAAAACTATCTCTTTTTGCAGAAGATATGATGATATACTTAGAAAATCCTAGCAATTGAACTAAAAAGCTAGTTGAAACAATAATTGTAGTGAAGTAGCAGGATATAAAAATA